ACTATGTGTATGTTATATAACTTAGTTTTGAAAATAATATGGTAAATCTGGCAAAATGTACTCCTTTTTTACAGGTGAGAAAACAGGCTGAAAGGACCAAAGCCACAAAGCAGGCAATAGAGTTAATTATAAAATAAAGGACTTATTTCAAGGTCTCCCTGCTACACTCTGCTCCTGCCTTGCCAGACAATGTGTATCCTCATATTCTACCCACTCTTACTATTGAACCCACTTAACGACTTTCAAATTTAAAACCAATTATAAAAACATCAAACACCAAAATAAATTTTTTTGAAAATCCAGAAAACTGTTCAGCAAATTAATTTTTTTTCTTTTTTTTACAACACACAGAACATCAGTTATATGAAAGTCCTGGGCAGGAAAACTTTTCAAGTAATAACAGTCATTTTCATTCTATGACATGGAAACACTGACAGTGTTTTTATTATTTTTTTCGACTAGACAACTCTCAATTATGCTTTCATTCCTTGACAAATGTTCCTCAACACTCACCAAATTTTGGCAGATGGCTTACAACAAAAGTAAAAAAAAAAAAGCATCTTCTCACTTTTTAACTCATTAGTCTAGCAAATGTTCAATCAATAAAATAAAAGAGAAACTTAGTTTAGTAACCATCTAACTAATTGGTATTTTGAAAGTGCTTAAGTTAATCAATTATTTTTCAACATTTCCAGGTTCATTACTGAACCACTCCCATTGTATAGCCTTAATGAAAACATCCAGTGAAATATATTTTTAAAGAAAGCAAAATACAATTTTTTTAAAGAGAACTAATTACAACTTTAAAAGTAATTATGATAAAGATACCTTTAAAAATCAAGATGAAAAATAGTACATAGATTCAAGAATGAGACCTTTAAAATAGCTGCCCTACCTTATTAGTAACAAAAAAAAAAATCAAAACTACAATGGGATACTATATTTCTTATCAGGCTCCTTGTATTTTAAAAATATTGTACCTAGTATTGAAAAGCACATAAGTTAGGCATCATTTTGTTATGGCAAAAGTAGTATAAATTTGGTACAAATTTCTGCAGAATATTTTGACAATGTGTAAAAACCCTTAATATATTTATATGCCTTGACCCAGGAATAATATTCTAGGATAGGAATCTATTTTAGGTAAATGGCTGGGGATGTGCTCAAGGATTTGTAGGGAAGAAAATATTATAATTTATAATAGTCCAATACTCAAAACAACCTAATTATAAAATAACATTAAGAGACTGGTAAAGGTCAGAGAGATCCAAGATGGCCGATTAGCAGCAGCTCAGGATTGTAGCTCCCAGAGAAAGCGCAGAGAGTGAGTGGATGCCACACTTCCAGACAAATTTTTATTGCCCACAGACCAGTAGATTCCCGATGGAGGAGCCCCATGGGTTGCCAGCGTGACTCTTTTGGCCAGCGCAGTTGTTTTGCTGGCGCCCTAGCACGGCGGTTCTGAGTACAGAGTATACGGGACTGGGTGCCCTTTAGTTGGCATTTGGAGCTCTGGGAAGGCAGAGTCACCCATTCAGCTGATTGAAGTGGGGACTGAAGCGGGGAGCCAGACCAGGAGATTCCCGGGCAGAAAAGTGCCACAAATCTCGGCACTGCTGTTTCAGCCGGCGCAATGCCCCCACAAAAAAACAGCAATTGGAAGCGCTGAAGATTGAGAGTTTCACAGCAAGCACAGCTGAACCCAGGAAGGTCCAGCTCTGTAGGGGAGGGGCATCCGCCGAAGGAAAACTAAGAAACAACTTCATCACCAACAAGCTGGATGACCGCTCAGAGACCCAATCTGAAAGTCAGCAATTACAAAGACAACAGGTGGGTACATCCACAAAGATGGGAAGAAACCAGCACAAAAAGGCTGAAGATACCCAAAATCAGAATATCTCTCCTCCTACAAGGGATCGCAGCTCCTCATCAGCAACAGAACAAGGCCTGATGGAGAATGAGTGTGATGAATTGTCAGAATCAGGTTTCAGAAGGTGGATAATAAGAAACTTCTGTGAGCTAAAGAACATGTTCTAACCCAATGCAAAGAAACTAAGAACCTTGAAAAAAGGTTTGACAAAATGCTAATGAGAATAGACAATTTAGAGAGGAATATAAGTGAATTAAAGCTGAAAAACACAACACAAGAACTTCACGAAGTATGCACAAGTTTTAACATTCAAACTGATCAAGCAGAAGAAAGGATATCAGAGGTCGAAGACCAACTTAATGAAATAAAATGAGAAGACAAAGTTAGAGAAAAAAAGGCTAAAAAGTAATGAGCAAAGTCTCCAAGAAATATGGGACTATGTGAAAAGACCTAATCTATGTTTGACAGGTGTACCTGAATGTGACAAAGAGAATGAATCCAAGCTAGAAAATATTCCTCAGGATATTATCGAGGAAAACTTTCCCAACCTCCCAAGGCAGAACAATACTCAACTCCAGATAATACAGAGAAAACCGCAAAGATATTCCTCAAGGAGAGCAACACGAAGGCACATAATCATTAGATTTACCAGGGTTGAAATGAAGGAAAAAACACTAAGGGCAGCCAGAGGAAAAGGTCAGGTTACCAACAAAAGGAAGCCTATCAGACTCACAGCAGATCTCTCAGCAGAAACCCTACAAGCCAGAAGAGAATGGGGACCAATATTCAACATCCTTAAAAAAAAAGAACTTTTAACCCAGAATTCCATATCCAGCCAAACTAAGCTTCATAAGTGAAGGAAAAATAATTTTTTTTGCGAACAAGCAAGTACTCAGAGATTTTGTCACCACAAGGCCTGCTTTACAAGAGCTTCTGAAAGAAGCATTATACATAGAAAGGAACAACTAGTATCAGCCATTCCAAAAACATACCAAAAGTTAAAGAGTATCACCATAATGAAGAATCTACATCAACTAATGGGCAAAACAGCCAGCTAGCATTAAATGGCAGTATTAAACTCATATATATCAATATCAATCCCAAATTTAAATGGACTAAATGCCCCAATCAAAAGACACAGACAGGCAAATTGGATAAAAAGCCAAAACCCATGTGTATGCTGCATCCAGACCCATCTCACATGCAAGGATACACAAAGACTCAAAACAAAGGATGGAGGAAGATTTACCAACCAAATGGAGAGCAAAAAACAAAAAAGCAGGAGTTGCAATTCTCGTCTCTGATAAAATAGACTTTAAAGCAACAAAGACCTAAAAAGACAAAGGAGGACATTAAATAATGGTAAAAGAATCAATGCAACAAGAAGAGCTAATGATCCTAAATATAAACATACCCAATACAGGAGCACCCAGATACATAAGGCAAGTTCTTAATGCCTTACAAAGAGACTTAGACTCTCACATAATAATAGTGGGAGGCTTTAACACTACATCGTCAATATTAGACAGATCAATGAGACAAAATTAACAAGGATATCTAGGACTTGAACTCAGACCTGAAATAAGTAAACTTAATAAACATTTACAGAACTCCCCACCCCAAATTCACAAAACATACATTTTTCTCAGTATCACATCACACCTATTCTCAAAGTGACCACAAAATTGGAAGTAAATCACTCCTCAGCAATTGCATAGCATTTCACAGGTTTAAATAAAATATTGGTTGGCTCCTTGTTTGTTATTTCCCTCCCTTATTCCTTCCTGTCTCCATTGTTAAGCACATTTATTGACATAAAAGAGGTTTTTAATACCCATTTTTAGACTGCATTCTAGCCTGGGCAATAGAGCAGGATTTCCATTCTCTCTCCCTCTTTCTCTTCCTCTTCCTTTCTCTCTTTTATTCTTTTTTTCTTTCTCTCTCTTTTTCTTTCTTTTCTTTTTCCTTTTTTCTATCTTTTCTTTCTTAAAAAATAATAATAATAATTTATGTCAACACTCCACCTTTGTCATGGTGAAACACAACTTTCTAATCCTTAAGTGTGGGCTGTGCATGGTTTCCTTCCAAGAAGTACAGTATGGAGAAGAGTTTGGGGAGAAGTAACTTCACAGTGGAGAAACCTGACAGCTAGGTAGGTTGTCTGGGGTAACAACAACAGTGATAAGTCATGTTGATAGTATGTTTCAAGGGCTATGATATGATAAAAATGGTACTTTATCTCTGTGATCCTCCTCCCCAAATCCTATACTCCCAGTGTAATTATGAGGACAGCACCAAATTCCAAGAGAAGAGAGGCATTCTGAAAAAAAAAAAAAAAAGAGAGACTGGCAAAATAAATTGGCATGCCCTCACAATGAATACTAGGCAAACATATAAAAATCTCATTTTAGAACACTATTTCATAATATAAGAAATGTTTATGGTCTGCTGCTATGGAAGGGAGAAGAAAAACCTAGAAGATCCACAGTCACACTATGGTGGATGGTCTGCTGCTATGGAAGGGAGAAGAAAATCCTAGAAGATCCACAGTGACCATATGGTGGACCTAAGAATAACTTCTATGTCCTGCTGTATGTGTGGTGGATAGCTTTCAAGATGACCCAATGATACACACCTTCTTGGCACTCACTCCCTTGTGTCATTATGCCCCACACTGTATCAAGGTTGGTTAGTAGAGTCAATAAAATACAGCAGAAAGAACAGTGTGTCCATTCATTCATTCATTCATTCATTCGAGACAGAGTCTTGCCTATCTCCCAGGGTGGAGTGCAGTGGTGTGATCTCAGCTCACTACAATCTCTGCCTCCCAAATTCAAGTGATTCTTGTGCTCCAGCCTTCTGAGTAACTGGGATTACATGTGTGCACCACCACCCCTGGCTAATTTTTGTATTTTTAGTAGAGACAATGTTTTACCATGTTGGCCAGGCTGCTCTTGAATTCCTGGCCTCAAGTGATCTGCCCACCTCAACCTCCCAAACTGCTAGAATTACAGGCATGAGCCACCGCATCCAACCAGTATGTAATTTCTGAGAGTAGTTCATAAAAGACATTGTAGCTTCTACTTTACTCTCTCTTGGATCACTCACTCTGAACCAAGAAGAGGCCCAAATGGCAAAAAACCTACACCTTCTGCCAATAGCCAGTGAGGAACTGAGGCCTCCAATCAATAGCCATGTGAGTGAACCATTTTTGAAATGGGTCCTCCGGCTCCAGTCGTCTTCAAATAATAGCAGCTCCAGCCCACAGCTTGACAGCTACTTTAGGAGAGGCATAGCCAAAATAGCTCAGTTAAATCTCTTCCAGATTCCTGACTTTCAGAAATTTTGTGGTAAAATTAATGTTTGTCATTTTAAGTTGTTAAATTTTAGGGTAATTGTTATACAGCTAAGCATGTTTCTCCATATTTTCCAAGTATCTATGGATAACATGTACTGCTTTTAAAATTAGAGAACAAACTACCATTTTAAAACACTAGACATTGTCCATGCAATCCTAATACAGATTTTTGGAGATTAATTCCAGTGTTTCAATTCGTCAAGCTAAATGTTTCCAAAGGATCGTCACACTGATGCATACATGTGCTAGTCCAGCATACATATGCTAGTGAGTTCAACTCCAAATTGAATGTTACAGTTACAATAAATCAGCAACTTTAAAAGTACCCAAAAAGGCCTTTGAAAATAAAGAATGAGAGGGCCGGCTCAAGCCTGTAATCCCAGCACTTTGAGGTGGGTGGACCACCAGGTCAAGAGATCGAGACCATCCTGGTCAATATGGTGAAACCCCATCTCTACTAAAAATACAAAAAAAAAAAAAAAATTAGCTGGGCATAGTGGCGCATGCCTGTAATCCCAGCTACTCAGGAGGCTGAGGCAGAAGAATTGCCTGAACCCAGGAGGCGGAGGTTGTGGTGAGCCGAGATCGCGCCATTGCACTCCAGGCTGGGTAACAAGAGCAAAACTCCGTCTCAAAAAGGAAAAAAAAAAGAAAGAAAAGAAAGTATGAGAGAAAGCTAAATATTAAATGCAAATGGCTTTTGAAAAAGTGCACAAACTATAAGAAAAGCAAGAGAAAAAAATAAAGATAAAAATAATTATTAATTTCAAAAATACTAAAATATTACATTCTAGTAAATAAAGCCAAAGATATTTAGAGAAGGAATGAATAAGAGGAAAACAAAAGGCAAATCTTAATATTCAAGAAAATGATAAAATAATAAAAGATGAATGAAAAACACAGAAAAAGAGTAAAAGAATTATAAATAATATGTATAGTTGGTTGTTAAAGAATAAATTTTAATAGTTCAATGACATTAAAAGATGATCCCAGATGAGTAGAATATATAAACCCTAAAGATCTCAACAGTTTTAGAAGAAATTTAAGTAAACGATTATTGTCAAATAAACCTTAATGATATTTTGTATGGATCTTTTAAACATTGAAATAATGAAAAAATATGGATTTTTAAAAAAAATCTATTTTAGAATGTTACATTCTAAATATTACATTCTAGCTGATATGGTAAGTCAATATGGTTTTTAAAAAAAAGGCCCTTCCTCAAGATAGTTTACTGTCCTCCCTTGTAAAACTGTCATAATACCTAAAGAAATTACAATATTATAGATGGCAATGTATAACTTGTATAATCACAAGTGATGGGCCTAATAGCTCTGACACTAAAACCTGAAAATCAGGTGACAAAACAGAAAACTATGATTCAGTATCAACAATCTTGCTAGATGAAATATATTTCAAACCCAACAGTATATTAAATAATAATAAACCATGTCCAACTGAGTTTACATCAGAAATCCCAGAATGGTTTAATACTAGGCAATCTATTAATGAAGTTACAACATCAGTAGGTAAAAATCAATTAAAACAGAACCTATCTCTGCCTGTTAAATAACAGGTAGTCATCTCAATACATGTCCATAGGCCAGGAAACCAGGGTAGTTCTATAATATAATAAAGATTCCCTATCTTTCACTTAGAATGAGCACCTTATTAAATATTTAGCTGAGTGGTTTCCAACAAAACCAGACATACAGACACCTATCATCAACATTAGTGTTGGTGACAGTCTTTTTCTATTGTCCACCACTGACAGCCCCACCTCGTACCACAACGAGGACGACGAGGAGGACGATGAGGCCTACGACACCATGGTGGAGGAGCAGTATGGCCAGATGTACATCAAGGCCTCCGGCAGCTACGCAGTGCAAGAGAAGCCTGAGCCAGTACCCCTGGAGAGCCGCTCCTGTGTCCTCATCCGCCGCGACCTCGTGGCCCTGCCTGCCAGCCTCATCAGCCAGATCGGATACCGCTGCCACCCCAAGCTCTACTCGGAGGGGGACCCCAGCGAGAAGCTGGAGCTGGTGGCAGGCTCTGGGGTCTACATCACACGTGGCCAGCTGATGAACTGCCACCTCTGCGCGGGGGTGAAGCACAAGGTCTTGCTGCGGAAACTTCTGGCCACCTTCTTTGACAAGAACACGCTGGCCAACAGCTGCGGGACGGGCATCCGCTCATCCACCAGTGACCCCAGCCGGAAGCCACTGGACAGCCGGGTCCTGAACGCTGTGAAACTGTACTGTCAGAACTTCGCCCCCAGCTTCAAGGAGAGAGAGATGAATGTGATCGCCGCGGACATATGTACCAACGCCCGCCGCGTTCGCAAGCGCTGGCTGCCCAAGATCAAGTCCATGCTGCCGGAGGGCGTGGAGATGTACCGCACAGTCATGGGCTCCTCGACCGCCGGCGCGCCCCTTGACCCTGAGTTCCCGCCCGCCACTGTGGCACAGGTGTTCGAGCAGCGCATCTATGCCGAGCGGCGGAGCGACGCCGCCACCATCGTGGCTCTGAGAACTGATGCCGTGAATGTTGACCTGAGCGCCGCGGCCAACCCCGCCTTCGACGCCAGTGAGAAGGTGGACGGGGCCGGCTCGGTCATTCAGGAGGTGGCTGCCCCCGAGCCGCTGCCCACTGGCGGCCAGAGTCCCCCGCAGCCCTTCGAGCAGGGCGGGGGCAGCCCCAGCAAGCCCCAGACGCCGGCGGCCGTGGCCCGGAGGCCGGAAGGCACCTATACAGGGACTCTGTAAGCGTAGCTGGGTGGCTGCGCAAGGGACCGAGTACTAGAGCTGCTTGCGTGCGACACTAATACAAACAAATGTGATCAAGCCAAAAAAAAAAATGGTGGTACCAAATGACAGTCTTACCAACACAATAGAAAAAGAGCAAAGATTTTTAAGTATTGGGATGGTAGATTATATGTACTTAATAATATTATTGATTGTCTAATAAAAATAAGAGATTTCAGTGAAATCCATGAACTTTAATGAGATTTTGTTAAACTTTCAAATATGCCAATAAGAACAGTTGGAAAACTTTTTTTTTTTCCTTTTTTTTGAGATGGCGTCTCACTCTGTCACCCAGGCTGGAGTGCAATGGCGCAATCTCAGCTCATTGCAACCTCCACCTCCCACATTCAAGCGATTCTCCTACCTCAGCCTGCTGAGTAGCTGGAATTACAGGTACATGCCACTGCGCCCAGCTAAGTTTTGTATTTTTAGTAGAAACGGGGTTTCAACATCTTGGCCAGGCTGGTATCGAACTACTGACCTTGTGATCCACCCGCCTCAGTCTCCCAACAGTTGGAAAACTTTCTAGGAAAACTCCAAACATAACCAACCGACAAATCAATTAACCAATTAATCAATCTCTCTGTTTTCTCTCTCTCAATCTCTATCTCCAGCACATGCGCGCACACACACATGCATGCACACATACATACATTTCATGCTGCATACACCTAAAAGTAAAATTATCATATTTACTGAAAATAAGAAAGAGAGGGTGCCTTCTGAAGAGGTGAAAGACAAGAGAAGCCATAGTAAAGAAATGACACAACTCTAGAAAGCCATCATGCATATGAATACGATATACCAGATGAATTACTTCTCTCTTTATGAGAAATGAGAAATGTTTCAGAAATCGTCTAAATATGTATTTATATGATTGACAAAAACAGCTTGGAATATGCCAATGGAGCCCAAGGGTATATAACAAACATTTTTAGCCGAATATTTATCTTTTCTTCAGGAGAACCAAGGCAAGAAAAACCCCCAATGGGATGAAGTAAGTAAGTTTTCCTTTCATCCACCCTATTTTCTTTGGAGTCACTAACCTCCAAAAGCCCCACAGTTCTGGGACTACATTTTAAGTTACAAGAGAGCAGTGCCCCCTTTTGGTACCAAATGCCAAAAGTTCTTCAGATCCTCAACACTTCCACATAAAATTTAACAAAGCAAACTATTGAGCTACCAATCCTTCCTACGGTAAAACAGGAACGATTTACCCACATTAGCATAATCATGGATACATTTGGCAAAGATCACTTTTCATGTATCATTTTCTTTTCTTGACAGTGACTATAGGACCTTACATACTAACAGAAAACTGATGTATATTAATTGACTGCATAGGCCTTGTTGGCTCATTCCAACACAAATCTCTCTACATAAGGGACAGACTTTCTCTAGGATAATAATATCTCTTATATCTCTTATCTAATGACATCAAAATGCTGTTTTCAACTGGCCCACCCAGGTATCAGATTTCATATTCAAATCTGGATCTTGCATACAACTGTGTGAAATGTAAAAAATGGAGTTAAGTAACTGTTTGGATATAATACTGTCTAATAGAACAGGGTAGAAGAGAATAATCCATTTATTAGAAAGGAATATTCTCTACTGGTTCCCCCTTTCATTTCCAAGAAACAACAAATAACATGAATTCTTTGCTAACAAACAGCGTAAGCCCGTTATTATACCACAGTAATTAAGTATAAACCGTTCTATCATTTTACAATATCTTTCAAGAAGTACCATTTTGTAGCTGCAAATGAAAATAACACCAACATGACTCACACTTCTAATCCAAGCACTTTGGGAGGCCGAAGTGGGTGGATCACTTGAGGTCAGTTGTTCAAGACCAGCCTGGCCAACATGGTGAAACCCCATCACTACTAAAAATACAAAAATTAGCTGGACATGGTGGTGCATGTCTGTAATCCCAGCTACTTGGGAGGCTGAGGCAGAAGAATCTCTTGAACCTGGCAGGCGGAGGTTCCATGCAATGAACTGAGACTGCACCACTGCATTCCTGCCTGGGCAACAGAGCAAGACTCCGAAAAAGAAAATAATGCCAACAGTATGTTCTTCCAAAATAGTAAAAAAAATAAGATCTTTTCCATGCCCCATCAGTTTGCTTTGAGTGGACAGAATCATAACAAAGAGGTCTTTTTATAAACAATGCTTGGCTTCATTTCCTGCTGTCTATGACAGAATTTGTAGGTATACCCTGCTGCAAGCACTAATGAATTTATTTATCTTATTTTGTTAAATAAAGACATAAAGGTAATATTTGCTTTTGTAAATGTTATACCCATCATATATATTTATATATAATGGATATTATATATTATGTATATTTCCTATGCTGTTTCATATCACACAAGTGCTTACCAATTTCTTCAATTACTACCCACCAGTGTAATTCTTTTTTTCTTTTCTTTTTTCTTTTTATTTTTTTGGCAGAGTTTCATTCTTGCCACCCAGGCCGGAGCACAATGGTGTGATCTCAGTTCATTGCACCCTCTGCCTCCCAGGTTCAAGTGATTCTCCTGCCTCAGCCTCCCAAGTAGCTGCTGGAATTACAGGCATGTGCCACTACACCTGGCTAATTTTGTACTTTTAGTAGATACAGGGTTTCACTGTGTTGGTCAGGCTGGTCTCAAACTCCCAACCTCATGTATCAGCATGCCTCAGCCTCCCAAAGTGCAGGGATTATAGACATGAGCCACCATGCCCGGCCTCTATCAGTGTAAGTCTTAACTATATATTTGGAAAAGCACCAAAGTGAGATTTTCCTCAGCAATATGAATTACGTTTTAAAGCACATCAGTTATAATTCATCTAACAAGGTGGGATAAGAGAGATCAGACCCGTTCACATATTAATCTAAGTTTAAAATAAATCCTAAGAAGCAACCCTGTAAATTTCCTGAAGTATACAAAGATGGCCAGAGGCATATATTTACCTCTGAAAAAGCAGCCCTACTTAGGCCAAATGCCAATTTTCACAGCTTAATGGGTGGAATTAAAGATTCAGAGTCAGACAGACCATGAATACAAGAGTAGCTTCAAATTCTGGCTGTAATACTTTCTGTATGATGTTGAATAATCATCATTCTAGTGATAATTCTAGAATAATTATACTCTATTAATATAAAAATATTGTATTAATAGTGTCATCCTTATCTGTAAAGCAATAAAAATATATGCCTTATAATGCTACTTTGTAATGAGACTTAAATGCAATAATGTATAAAGTGATTAGCACAGTTCCTGGTAAGAGTAAATAGCCTGTAGCTACTATCATAACGATGTTTATGTTCTAATATCACTTATCCTAGAAATGAAATACTCTCTCCTCTTAAACTGAGTAAGGAAACAACTGCTGGGTGATTACTAAACTTACAAAGCTGGAAGGCCTGGAATTACAGAAAAATTATGACTCAAAAGATCCTTCAAAGGTACTTCGCAATCTGTTACATGCTGTCTCATAGGCATGTCTCAAGAAATAAAGCACAAAATATTTCAATGCCTATAATGGGAAACCAGGGCTTAAGTGTCTTTTCCAAGAAGTGGTGTCACCAGTGAAAATGGAAGAATCGATAGCTTCACATCTCCTAAAAGTAGGCTATATCAGAGTTTAGGTCTTACAGACTGAATAGCTTACACATTTAGCTTTGCTATTTTGTCTGAATGGGAGCTGGATAAAATTAGAATTTAGCCAGTGTCAGTGACTATGTTTGCAGTCCTCAGCTGATTAAAATCAGTCATGGCTACATCAGGCTAATAGGGAAAATTTCTTCTCAAAGAATATGATCATAAAAATAAAATGCCCAGGACTACCACATCAATAAGCATCTGTAAGCAAGCAATAATTCAGTAAATATTATCAGAGTTTATAGTAATTAGACATGGGTAGAAGAAAGTTAAAAATTAGCTAAACCATTTTTCCATAAGCAAAGCAATATATTTTCAAATATGAAAAATCCTGATCCGTTCTATATACGTGAGGTTGTAAGGAGTAAAATGGAGAGGGAGGTCATAAATACTGCTCATCATCCTCTAAATGCCAAATTGAAACATTAACCACTGGCATACAAAAATTCTTGAACAGTACAGATATTTCTGTAACCTGGTAAAAGTATTCTTTGTCTTGCCCTAGAGGGAAAATTTATTAAAATAAATTAACATTTTACTGGGTCTCTAATTGGAAGTGGCTGTTCTCAACAAACATGTTTATCAAACACTGTGACTGGCAAAATGTATTACTGTAGCTGTAGTTATCCAAATTACATGCTGTCTAAAGCAAAAAGGGCAAAAGCCATCTGGCTCATATAACTTGCATTTTCTAGACAGCTTGCAGCTGGTTCTGATTAAGCAGCATCTCAGAACTCCCAGAGATCTATTTTTATCCCTGCAAGTGTATTTTTAGGACTCACACATCCAAGGCACAGGGCATTTACATTAATAAATGAACAACCACTTTGATTAGGAAAAGGTTTATGTGACACTCTGGTTTAGTCTCCAGCTGCACAAATGGACTGCAAGTTGTATATGACAATCTGAAACCTAATCCTTAGAACTTATCTCCTCTCTGGCCATTGTAGTATCTCAAGGGAGGAACACAGAAAAATGGCCTCCTCTGTCTTACGAAATAATCAAGGAAATATATCATAACAAGAAACTTGACTGCATTATCTTACCTAGGAGGCTGGCACAATTATTAATCTGTTTTACAGATGAAGGAACAAAGGTTTTGAATGGCTAAATAACATCTTCAATATAAATAGTCAGTGAATGATACAGCCAGGACCCATACCTGTATCTTTGATGACGCAACAAAAATTCACACCTGTATTTTCTGGCTACAGAGCCTGAGCTAATATTAACCACAAGATTATGCTGTCTCATCACTGACAGGGTTAATAGCGAATTTTAAAAATGTATTTTCTTATAAGAAAGTGTAATAATATATGAAGTAAAGAGGTAATCATAGATTTTGATGGAAGAAGCATATTAGAGCATTCTAGAACTGAATAACAATACAGATTTGTATTAATAAATCTTATAATAAAGATAACAATGATAAAGAAGCTTTTTTCTTCTTTAAATCTC